GGCAGCCCTCCCCAGGGTGACCCCCCCTTCCCCGGTACCGGACACCAGGGACCAAGCGCTACGTGCTCAATGCTCTGCCTGTCGTTTGGTGGCTTTGGGAGCGGTTAGAAACTTCTTGTGTGAATGCTTTTTTACTGGGAAAACAACGGGCTTGGGTGGGTTTTACTTAATATATGTGCTCTCCTCAATGCCTGAACTTTTCCTTTCCTGATGAAAACTTTTAAAAAAAAAGAAAAAAAAAAAAAAGAAAAAAATTGGCAACAAGTTTCAGCCATTAGGGGTCGTATAAGATATAAACACTTTCTGCAGGTAAAATTCTTTTCTGGATAACTCAATTTTCAACATATGTTCACAATAACGCACAAAATGCCTGCATTTGTGCATTGCAAGCTTCACAGTGCATTCCTCTAAAGCATCATGTGTTCTCTATTTAGGTCTATAAACAGGTGTGCAGTCTCCTTTCCCTTCGGGTAAAATTCCCATGTCCCATATTCCCACTTAGCTGTTTCTCTTTCCAGTTGACACTCTTTGAAGTTGGGGGGGCAGGGAATCAATCCACCAGTTAGATGAACATCTCAGCAATCTTAAGATGTCTCGGGAGATTTCCAGGTCATAAAAAATGTATAACAACTCTGTCGGCTGTTTTTTTTGTTTTTGTTTTTTTTTTTTTTAATTGAAGCTTGGCATTTTGTCTGCTATATTTTGGGTACTTCAAAAATCAACAGAGTCAAAACAAATCGTAGATGAAAGATAGCAACAGAGAGGAGAAAGAAAAGAGAGCAAGAAAAAGAGTTAAAATAAAAACAGAGAGAAAAATACCCAACTGTCTGTCTTTCCTGCTCTCACATAAATAATGGACAGCCAGTAAATAAGTTACAGGGCTCAGCCAAGCCCAGGAGACTGGTGGACATGATCCTGCAAGTTTATTAGAACACAGAAACACAGCTGGAAGGAGACCCGGGAGGTCACCGAGTCTATGCTGCTATCTCCAACAGTGCCTCACTCGAGACCCCCACTGGGACCAATTTTTCTTAGCTAGGAAGATACAGAAATACCCCACCACAACCAACCCTGTGATTTGGGACTTGCACCACTGAGTGTAAAAGCAGAATTTGGTCCCCTTGCTATACCACTGAATCACATTCATTACAAGGCATTCTCAAGTGCACGCTTCATGAAATCTTTTCTAGCACTACCAGGAATTTATAGGTTTTCCAGACGTCACTTTCTCAGATTTGCCTTGAGGACAACATAGGGGCCTACAGGACTCCTGTCAATGTGAATGAAGATCCTACTGACATTCCCAAGAGAGAATACATCCCTGCTGCAACAGTTCCCAGATCTCTGGATAGTTACTGGGAGGAGAGTTCTTAAAAGATAACTGCAAATGTAATTTTTCTAGCAAGGTGCCAGATGCTGCGCCCTCAGAAAGTTCCTTACAGCTTCCCCGGGTCTGGGTGGGATGGATCTCACTGTCGTTTGAATCAGACTCTCCAGGCTTATAGGTAGTAGAGCGAGACAGGCGCTTTACACTGTAATTTAGCTGCTTTTAGTTTTGTTTCCACTTAAAGCTGAAACAAATCCTTCCCAGGTGATTCATTTACTCCTCTTCAGCTTCTTTTCTCTCACTCTAAAGGGACCTTGGATGATACAGAAGAAAGCATGTGCTTCCAAGCTGCCAACTTAGGTGAGACAGATCCCAGCCTTGCTGTTGGGTGTAACTTAAATTTTGCTTGCGTGTTTAAGCATCCAGCAGTTGCTTTCCTTTCTGCCACACACTCCTAATGAGAATTCAGGAGCTTTCTCTGCCACATCTGAACCCTAGAGAGCCACCTTCTCCTTCTGCTCCCTAGCACCACTGCTAACAATCCATCCTACTCCAGTTTTCTTCGTTAATATTTCTGCCTTAACATCCTGTCGTTATTTAAAGCTTTATGCAGGCTTGCTAATACCGATCCAGTATTACATAATAATGATACCACATAAGCCAATAACATGCTAATGACACCATAAGAATAATAGCAATGTTCCTATATTAACTAATAACGATACCAGTGTCTTCCAAAAAGGATGTGGGACTTAACCTCTCTATCCCAGCCCACCGACTTGCAGCCTCCCTTCGCTACAAGTCATCTCAAAACCAAAGAGAAGGCACATCAGCAGGAGGAGCAGCTCTGAATGACCGAGGAAGGTACACGCTTGCCTTCTCATAATGAAACTTTCTCCATTTGTTTGAGTAGGATGAACGTGGGGGACATCTGCTAGTCATAAAACCTGCTGGATTTCATTAGTGCAACCCCAGATATATTTCAGAAAACCCATTTGAGGAGTATTTCAATACTGTATATTAATTTTACACTTCATCACTACAATTTAATTGCAAATAAGCACCACTGTACATAAGTGCAGTAAGCATACACAAGTTCAGTACCTGTTCAGCAATAAAATCTCAAGCTCATTTATGTAATTTAGTAACACTCCCTTGTTTATATTGCAAGTTAACTTTCATACCTTTAAAAATAACAAACATAAAAGTGCATTCATTTTTCACTGTTGCGCTGCCGGCATGCTTTCTGTATTTCTCCTCGGACAGGCAAATCTGATAAATGGGATGGTCAGTTCCAATGTCGTTTAAAGTCACTTTCTAGGGAATTTCCCTTTCAGATCTTGCAGGCTAGCAGACTGCACTGAAGTGGCAATTGTTCACATGCTTTACTAAAATGTATTTGACTTTATAAGTGAAAAAAATTAACAAAACACAAACTTAAAGGCTGTGCAATCGAGTTCTTAGCCAGTGTAAACTAAGAACAAGATCAAACCCGCTCACTACCAGCAAAGGCCAAAACGTGACTGACTGCATGCTGTTGACAGCAGATTTCCTCATCCCGGGAGCAAGCACAGCACGGTTCTGCCAGTGAAACTGCGAGCTCTCTGGCTGTCTCTGCCAACGATCACTGGGCCTACTGGGACAGGACTGCCCCAAAAAAGCATGTGAACTGATCCCTGGGCCCATCCACGTGCTGAGACAGCACCGGAGCACCACAACAAAGCCCCTGCAGCGTAATTCAGACTCTGTAAAAACAGTGGTTTTTACTAGATACCACCATGACTACAGCACTCACATTACCGTCATATCCTTCTGTGTCTCTAGGACTAACCAGGGGAATGAGCAGGTGAGGATTCTTGCAGGTATCCCTGAAGTGCCTCTGACCTGCTGTACTTCAGTTAAAGAGCAAGGTTAAGGATCCCGCACACAAGAGCACAGACTGGCACCCTGACACCAACTCAAACCCTGCCTTGCTGCCAACCACAAGCCATCCGCCCTGCTGCTAACCACCATCTTCCTGCTTCTGCGCAAATGGATGAACGTGGCAGTAAATTTGGCTGCTTGTCACATGCAGGCGAGAGTCTGAACCATAACCTCAGCCACTGAGCATCAACCTCTACCTGTTCAGACTTCCTCTCTGCTGGCACGAGCCCTCTCCCATTTTCTTTGGACTTTGCCGCACCAAGCAATGAAGCTAGCATTTAAATGTCTGCAATCCTGAACACAAACCCCATTGTTTGCCCCAGCCCTGTTTCAAGCATAATCCTGGGAACTCCAGTTTCTCAGAGCTCAGTGTAGTATATTTGCTTCTGCTGTTATGGGACATGTTGTGGTTTGATTGTATCTGCAGGACACAACAATACACTAGCTCTTCCATGGACCTCATCCTCTCCACATCAGGAGAGCTGCTTTCCCCAAAATGAACTTCAGGGTTAGGGTTGGAATTAGAGTTAAGATACAAGACAAGGATGATTAAAACCTGTGGCTATATCCTGATTAATGCTAGGACAAGCAGTGGACTCAGATCCTTGCAATGTGGGCAGGGCTGTGGGTTTAGCTTAGGATCTATGGGGGATATCTAACTAGACCTCCCTTCTTCTGTCAGTGTGAGAAGATACCTGGTATCAATAAGGGAAAATGGCTTAATACATTAGTTCTGGGGTACGCAGGGGTCACTAATGCATCCTAAGGTGCTGAATTTAGCACTCAGTTTTGCAGCTGGAAGGGCTGAATGGATAGACATACTCTTTGAAGGACTGCTACCCCAGAACGAAGCATGCTATTGGCACTTCCAATGTCTTTTCATCAATTCTGCAATGGGATTGTATCTTGGAGCAATGTGCTAGAGCCAGAGATTGGGTTTAGAACAGCATTATGGACAAGGCCAGAGCGTCTGGATCTTCTAGGAAAGGTTTTGTCTTCATCCAGTGTTTGTTCATCAAAAAAATGGCAGCTTTTTACTGCTGCCCATTAAAAAATAGCAGAATTGTGCACAATAAATCTATAAGGTTCTCAGTCTGATGTAGGATCATGTGGGTTTCTACATAATGTTTCATAACAGGAGTTTTGTCTTCTTCACAACACGAGAAGTCAGGTATTCGGAATCCCCACACAGACAGAGTGCTATCAAGGTGAGAGTCAAGCTCTCAAATAGTTAGGAGGTACCAGAATTAAAAGCAGATGTTGCAAACCTGGTTTGGTGAGTGTCAGTACTGCAACAGTTTTTAGCCACATGATCAGCATACCATGTTTCCCCCATGCAACCTCTGCCACAAATACACATGTAAATCCTATATATCGTTATGGGGCTTAATAGCAATATGCCGTGTCTTATCACATTATTACAACTTTGTAAGCCTTTGCGTATGGTACTTGACAACACTGGCTCTGCTAAACACTGTTCCTGACATTACTTACATAGTTCAAGTATAGGCATCTGTAGTAACGCTATAGGCCAAATCCTGTCATTCTCAACATTATTCAAATGGGTGTTTTTAGCAGTTCAAGACAGACCGAGCATTGCATTTCACCTATGCAAGAGAGTAGGATTGGTCCCATTCATTTAGTTCAAGTCAAAAAAGGTTTTACCTGAGATTTTCTGAGCTAAATTCCGATTCCAGGAAACGAAGGAACTGGTCTCGTCCTACTGGGTCCTTCAGCACCTCATCCATGGAGAAACCCCATCTTTTCACACGCTGCTGACTAGGTTCTTTGCTGTTTGGAGGAGAGAAGGGAAAAAACAGATGGAATGTGCATTTCTGCCTGCTGTCCCAGCAGCTGCTGCTGTTTCTGCTAAGCAGCAAAGGGAGGAAGATTATCAGACGAGGAATGGTGGTTTTTCCTCAAGATTTTGCAGAAATACAAGTTAGCAAATAACATACAAAAAGAAGCTATAAAGACCAGGGTCATCATTAAAGCAGCTGTACTATCTGGGTGCTACGTACATGGCAAAATGAGATGGGGAATTATATGATTTTCAGAGTAATTTCCGGTAGGTGCCATGTAAAGAACAGCACACCATACTTGAATGATAATTCATTATGCAATTTTTATATATCTCCTCAAATGTACCTTGGGATTTCTTACATGTCAAGGCAGAAATTTGCCAGCAGTGTTGCCTGGGCTGCCAGTGAGCTCCAGAGCATTTCCTTGTGTCCCACAAAGTGCTGGCTGGTCACTTGGAACTGGCTTCAGATCTTCAGTTCCACATTTGCATGAAGAAAGCAGTTTCACTAAGCAGCAGTGCAGACAAGATTTCTAAAAATGATTACTGGTTTGTGGTCTTTTATTTTTCAGTGCCTCTGATTTTTGGATGCCTGAGTCTTGGAAGACTAAAAACCATCTCCCTCCTACCCTCCATGATAATCAGACTCTTATTTTGTCTCAGCTGGGACACTGACATGCAGAGGCACCCAAAATCATGAAAATTATTTCTTAATACAACCCCATTTACATAAGCTGTTGCTTGAATTGCCAGACACATTGCAGAGATGCCTATGGGGAGAGGCAATGCTTGGGATTCACAACGAGGATTCTACGAGACAGTCTGCATCAGAGCGTAATCTGGACTCACAAAGTGTTTGAAAGCTTCTGGTGTGATGGCGTCATACTATGAGACAACCATTAAAATACAGCTCAGCTGCTCAGATTTGTGACAGCAGAGCCATTGTTAACAGTACATATCTATTAAACTACATGTCTCGTCACGTCCACAGTGATTCCTAATCCTGGAGCCTTAGGGGACAGTGGCGATCTGTGCTGAAGACAAATAAGCCAAAGGGGTAAATAAAATGCTCGCTTTGATTTCCTCTTGGTGTAAAGACTAAGCAAAATGGATGGGCATGTCCTCACTCAAAGTGCAGAGCACTCAGGATGGCTCCTCTCGCACTCACCCAGGAGTCAGCAGCGCTGCGGACAAGGGGGCAGATGCCAGCCCAGCTGTTAAGTGAGCCAGCCCAGACACAGGGACATGTAAGCCATGTCTGTGCAGAGCTACACACGAGCTAAGTTCAGGGAATTTCCTGCT